ACAAAGCACATGGTGTTTAGAGCCACACAGCACCCCTCCCTGGTCTACTCTGCTGAGCTGCCCTGCTCAGGCAGAGCCTACCAGCAGGTTCCAGCTGATCTTTCCGGAAGGTTGGTCTCAGCTGCTGCCTGGCTGAAAAAGCTGCTGGCTGTCATCAAAACAGAGGAATGTTGCGTCACGTTTGCTTTTTGCACAGGGCAAGAGTCGAGGGAGCAGCTGAGCCACCTGGCCTGCCTGCACCAGCCAAGGGACCCGGAGGGTTAGTGCACGCACTGAGGAGGTGGCTGCCAGCACCAGGACACCAGCGCCTGTCGCAGCTCAGTTGAGCTCAGCACCGCGCAGGCAGCTCCCCACTGTGGCAAGCATTAAGAGCACAGGCAGGCAGGACCAGCAGCAGCACTAGGTTGGCTTAATTTTTGTTCCTTGCACCACAGCAAGGCAGACAAAACAGGGATCACTTTGCCCTGCGTGGCACATCTTGCAGAACCAGGTTCTGGATGGAAGCACTATCACCCCGGCGGTGGGCAGCCCCATTCACTGCTGCAAGGACCAACACACAGACACCAGGGAAACACCAAGCTATAAAATTCATTTTCTCCCACTGATACCCAAGATCCAGTGCTGATGTTTGCTGCCTCAGTGAGAGAACACATGGACTTATCAGGAGAGCCAAGATGCCTTTGCTGTCACCACCTGGAGCACAAGGCATGGTCCCAGCCATGCAGCCTCTCTTGCACAGTGGCTGTGGCAGACTCAAGGCTTCTCTTGCACCAGTTTGGAGGTTGCTCTTCTCCCCAGGATTCCCTGGGGCTCTTTTCCATCAGGTAGGTGAAAGAAAACTCCCTGATCTATGAAACAAGGATCCTCCCAAGCCCAGCTCTACACACGGACTGATCCTCCATGCTGAGGGCTCAGTTACACAAGAAATCTGTCGCTTGTTCTAAGCTGATTATTTCAAGAGGGTGTTAAACCTTTATCACCGACATTTGCTTTGCCCAGAAGCTGTGCAGCTCACTCCTGGGGTCTGCCACGAGCCCTGCAGCTCAGCACACACCACATGCTCAGCACCCGATAGGCTGACACTGACCCACCTCTTGCGCTGCTCCAGCTCCCAGTCCAGGCGGGCCAGTGTCTGCTGGTGGGGCTCTGACAGGGTGATGGCAGGCCGGCTGATTTCAGGGGGGGCCTCTTTGTAAAACTCCTCCAGGCTCACCAGTTCGATCTCCTCGTGTTTCGACCTGCAAGGACAGACAGATCAGCCCAGGGAAGGGTGGGAAATGCTGCAGCAGGGCCAAACTCAACCATGCCTCGCAGGAGAGTGGTCAGTGTCAGTCACAGAATCATTCAGGTTGGAAAAGACCCTCGAGATCATCGAGTCCAACCATCAGCCCAATTCTACAAAGTTCTCCCCTACCCCACATCCCCCAACAGCTCATCCAAACGGCCCTTAAACACCCCCAGGGATGGGGACTCCACCCCCTCCCTGGGCAGCCTGTTCCACTCTCTGACCACTCTTTCTCTGAAAACTTTTTTCCTACTGTCCAGTCTGACCCTCCCCTGTTGCAGTTTAAAGCCGTTCCCTCTTGTTCTGTCACTAATCCCCTGTGAGAAGAGACCAGCACCAACCTCTCTACAGTCTGCTACGTAAGGTACCACACTATCAGTGAGCTGAACTGCAATGAGAAGGGGCTGAACAGGGTCCCTCCCTTCCCAGAGACACCTTCCCCACAGTTAACCAAAGCACCATCTGAGGCATGAGTCTAAACACAGCCCTCCTTCTGCAGCTCAGAGTGCTGCCCGCACAACAGGCACAACGAAAGGCTCAGCTTTTGGAAGAAACCTCCCGATAGACAGAGGCCAGAGAATCCTTAAAGAGTCTAGCATGGCTACATCTTTAACATTTACCTATTTCCTCCTCCACTGTCCCTCTACCACAACAGATGCCTTCTTCCCTCTTCCCACCCTGACCCAGCACAAGAATTCTGGGACACTGTCTCTCCTGTGTGGTGGCACGTGGCCTCCACCCCATCGCTCCCTGTCCTCCCTGGCCAAACTCACTTGAACTCCAGGCATTTGGTGATCTCTTTCTGCAGGTGCATCACCTCATAGAGCAAGTTCTGGAGCTGCAGGTGATAAGCATCGACCTTCTGCTTTGCCTGAAACACCGACACAGCTGGGGATGAAGCTCTGTGACCGCCTTTAAAGCTCCCAACCACCTCCTGCCCCCAGGATCCCCC